GTTTACGAGAATGATTTTATGTTGTTTTAGTCTGGTGCACATGTAGGATACAGAAGAGAAACATCCTTTAAAGTACATTGTCCTATATATTCATAGCTAAAAATTATAATTTGAATTTGAAAAGTGACTACTTCCTTGTATGAAAGAAAAATGGTAGTAGACTGCCTTAAGAGCGAATTGCACATGCGCGAAATCATTGCTAAATGGCTTAAAGCCAACTAAACAAAGCAGCATAATATTTTTTTTTTTGTCTTTTTGTCTCTTTCCTACATACTAAAGCATCTGCTTTGCTTAAAATTATTTTATGTAAAACTAAATTAATCTGGCATGCTTTCATTTCATTTAATTTCAATTGTTGATAATTTGTACTGAAACGATAAAAATGAATTTGTGTATAATGGTAAAACAGAATTTTCAGCAAATATATAAATCATGAAACTTAAAAGTACTTATATTATTATATAGATATCCCATTCGATCGAGGGAAATAAAACAAAAAATTCACCTGAGATAATCGAACGCTCGGATAGACATAAACTTGTACTAAAAATTAAATCAATCCATCGTAACATTGGCAAAATTCAAGAGATTAACCTTTAATAAGTAGTTAATGTGCGCAGACGGTCTGATGCATGCCCTGAATGCCTTGACAACAAAATTTGGTGTATATTTGAAATATTTTTTACGCCAATAGAATTGCAGTATTTCAATTGAATCACAGCACATTTATTTTGGTAAATCGACGAAATTTAATCAGTCTAGTAAATCGAAAGTTTTATAAAAAAAAATCACATACACTAAATTAAGACCAAGGGTGTGCACAAGGGCCGTTGGTAGAATCTGCTGCCTTATTCACTTACAATTTTTCACACTCTGATCATTGTCTTTTTAGTGCATCAACATGACCAAGCACGTCTTATATGATATAATTAAATCTTCCCATAAAATCTAACTTTCAAGGAACACAATGTCAGATTAAATGTCAAATTTAATGCTAACTACAATTTTAACCCAAAACCTTTAAAGTTTATTTCTCAAAAATATCACATTTCTTAAAAACAACCCTCTTAAATTGGAAGTTATGACTGTCATCTGACTTATTGACAATGTTTAAATGAGAAATAATCCTCGTATTGTATGTGACCGCGGGACTCATTAGAGAAAAATCGTCCGTTAATTCATAGTTCTTGGTAAATTCCGCCATTAAGACTATTTTCATTAATTGGGCCTAAATGAGAAAGTAGTCACATTGGAATAATATCATATGAGATTTAATTTCCTGAATAAAATCTTGCGACATTGAGCTTATTTCAATTGATATTCTTTTTCAAAGTAGTCTGCAATTTTATGCGATATATGACTTGGACTGTAGAATCTTTTCAGGAATCTATGGCACGTGGATGACCTGGTTTATATCGTGTAAAACAATTTTTTTATTCATTTATATTTGAAATTTTTATTTGACACATGTACACTTTATTAAAGAATGATAAAAAGTACGTCATTTCTCAAAGTTGTGCTTCAAGTTTGACTTTTGTAATAATCCACGATAAAACGATATGCTCAAACACTAGACATATTAAAGGTACATTAGTCCTTAGAAATCCATTTTTTCCATTTCTTAAGAAATGACAAACATTTGTTTAATAATGTTTAAAAAATGGGTTTATAGCATGTAATATGTTCAACAACTAGGGAAGTAGCACTGAACGTGAGGTAATATGTCCTAAAGGTATCAAAATGTAAAAGTAGTATTTTGACATTCATACAAAGTACTAATTCAATATTATTATACCAATTACCAAAAGAGCAAAAGTAGCGAAAAAGAAACGTAGTTCATCTATATTTCAAATGACATATATTTTCGAAACTGTAAAATGATAATAGTTTTTGAGAATGAAAATGATATAACATTTCTGAGGCATTTTGGGGCTTTAAAATAAAAAGAAATTAATACATTTTAAACAATAGCATGTACTATAACTGTTGATATGTTTAGAAGTGAAGATATTACTTCAGTCATACGAATAGCTGTACTTTTAAACTTATGTAAATTTATTCGTTTTGCAAATAGTAAAATAACAGATATGTTGCTAAGCTTAGATTCTACATGAACATGTTATGTTAAAACGTTTTTCATAGATATTGTAAACGTTTAGTTAACGCTATCAACATTTATATTAAAATGAAATTATTCTGATATATATATTCATTTATGTTTAATCATTTTTTTTCTGCAGCTATACAAGTTCATTCTACAATATACTGTAAATCTTTGAATTATATCATGTGCTTAGCTATTTATATATTTGATATATATAGTGTAAGTAACAAGGTACTGTATTGTAAACGTTACGAAATAAAATTTCTGCTCTGTTCTATTCTGTTTATCGTACTATGTTAAAGCAAGTGATAACAAACTGAGAATATTAATAACCTTGCTACTTATTTCAACATTTCCCTTTGTGGTATTTTATAATACCTAATTTGAGTTCAATAACAATGCTATTGTATTTCATATTGGTTTTGTTATTTGACTGCGAACTGTCCATGACAAAATAATCAAGCCAATATGACTTACCAGAATTAATCTATAAGCAGTACTTATAATACATGTTCAACGTTATATGTGTAATAACATGATACTATTATATGATATTAACTTTTTAATGAATATATTAACGTATACGAGGCTAACAAAGAAAAGTATGAACACTCCGCGAAATAATATTAAATACATAAAGTGATGGAGATTATCGAACTTATGAGTTATAAAAGGCGCTGATAGAGAGAACAAGTCACTTTTTTTCAATCTTATGCTCGCTCATATGGTCTCTTGCCGGTGGCGAGGGTAAACAAACGCGCAGACACACACACACACGCACGCGCACACGCACACACACACACACACACACACAAGTGCACGTGGCTCAGACGGGTGACCTAGTTATGTCACTTTGCTGGTGTGACGTAACTAACGGCGAAGGGTGTGGCTCCCAAAAGATGCTGGTGACTCTCGGTGTTTTTCTACTATTGTCTTTCTGTGTTTAACGATTGGAATAATTTGGTCCTGGGGAGAAGATCTCTATGACGACAGACAGCTTAAGAAGACCTCCGTTGCGACTCTACGATCAGCGACGTATAGAGGCGAGTAAACTAAGACCTCCGTAGAGGCTCTACGACCAGCGACGTAACAGAGTCCGATAGTCTGGGGCATATGGCATAGCCGGCGCCCAGTATATATAAACTTAAAAATCACCATCATAAGATCAAAATGTGTTTGGTTTTTCCGCTAGTTTTCACTTCACATGATGTATTTGTAAACTATAGATGACGTATTTTAGAATTTTACTACTCAATGATCTACATGGCCAACAGAATCTATCTCTGACGAATCTGAGAATTCTCTTATTTACGAGATGTTAACATCGTTGTAAAGTCCTCTTAAAATATCCTCTTTATAGAATTCTAGCATTACCGATTGATCCAATTTTCTGTCATTTTGTTCTATCTGTCTTAACAATATCAATCTTTTCTATTTCAAATATTCAAAGTTTCTTTTTAATGCAAAATCTTCCTTTGAGTAACATATGCGCTATGTTTTTGTCAGATTTAATTTATGAGCATTTTTTTATAGTCTTTACCGGCGTCGGCACTTGTGCATTACCCAAAGCGATATATTTGCGGGCAATAATTCACAAACATGTGAACTATTTATTTCATTTGTCAGAACAAATATTGAGTGATCTCAAAATTAAGAGTTCGTAATCAAGTGGAACAAAGTAAAATAATGTCTATTGGCAAGAAAATGAATTAACAAATTGAACACACAAACAGTGTGGGGAAATAAAATAAATTACAGATGCTTGACACAGTCACATTATAGTGTACATTATACTGTAGAGTATATTGTACTCCGTTCATGATTTTTTCATAATCTTAAATTAAAAAAAAAAACAACAAAAAAAAAACACATTATCAAAGGTGAAATAATTAATTTGCTAATTCTTTCTTGAAAATATTAAATATCTTGCTTTGTCATCAAATTTCTCAATTATATCTAGAGATATTATGAAGTTTAGTCAAGTATAATTTAGAGAGGCATAATTCTTATTTCACCATTTAAGATGCGTACTGTTTGTCATAAATGTGTATGTTTCAATTTTTAACATACGTATATCATATATTTGAAATAAGAAATTTAAAGCATTCTGAAATAATAGTTTTACACAATAACGTAATATATGTTATATAAGCTTTTAATTTTCAGCATTAGCCCTTTTTTATTTTTTTACAATGTGTAATAAATTCAGATAAATAAAAACTCAAATCTTATCTTGCTTTGTCTGATCTGGTCTTATCTGATCTGGCTTGGTTTTGTCTTGTCCGATCTGGTATGCTCTTAACTTCCTGTTCTTGCCTAATCTTACTTGTCTTATCAGACATTGTCTGGTCTTGCCTGGTTATATACATGTAGTCTTGTCTTGGTCTCTGTGGGCTTATATTGTATTGCCTTGCCTTTCTTTTGTCTTGTCTTTTCATATATCAAATTGTGTCGTGTCAAGTCTGGTCTTATTTGGTCTTAAATTTTATTCTCATCTCTTATCTTTCTTGAATACTGCCTTATTATCAATCTTATCTTAATGTCTTAAACCTCGAATTTCCATGAACATACTCTGGTCATTGGATCACATTTATCGACATATCAACACTTGCAGAAAGAAAGCTCAAACTCAAATGATAAATTAGGTAAACCTTTGTTCATACAATCATTTACAAAAAAATAATATAAAGAGCACATCTGTTTTGTTTTCCCTGAAATCTTTAATTCGAACGCAATAAGCAGAGTGGATAATTATTTCCTGGTTCATGATTTGTTAGGGTTTTCGACTTTGTAATCAAAACAAAAAAATGTTCTTCCTTTCCCTTTAACATTTACCGATAATAATATCACATTTTAAATGTTTTTTACTTGACAACACTTCATTGTATATTTTCAGGTAGAGAGTATATATGAATTGATGATGGATTACTTGACGGCAAACGAAACTGAAAGCAATGACTCTATTAGCATGACAAATGTTAGTCATCAAGACGGCATGCATGCTGACAACGCCACTGATACACACATTGAAGAACTCGACCGGAAGTGGTACTATGTTTTGGAATCTATTTTGATTTCTATTGGAATTTTAGTAGGACTTGTCGGAAATGTTGCTGTAATCCGCGGATCTGTTCAGGCGAAAAGATTTGCAAAACAAAATGTGTATTTGTTCATAGGCCTTTCTTTAAGTGACAATTTGATTTGTTTGTTACGCGGGCCTAGTCTAATATACATCATTTTCCACACGAAAAATAGTCCGGATGTTGTTTGTGAGTTGTGGATGGTATCGACAATATTTCTAATTATAGCCGTGATGACGAATATGGTCGTTGCAATTGAACGACGTATGATCATGTATAATTTTCAGAGGTACTTAAAACTGTTCACACCTAGACGTGTTCTTATCGGAAGCATTGTCACGTGGGTTTCAGTCGCCGGAAGCTTCATGGCGGTGTATAAAGGAATGGACTTCTATTCAACCCTCCGTATACACGAAAGATCTTGTCAACTGCAAACTGAATTACCTATGTTTGATGAGATCACAGCAACAACATTACGTATATCCGTTGTCGTTTTATTTGGCCTTTTGCCAATCTTGGTCCAGGCTGGATCATACGTTTCGCTGGTGATTAAAGTCTACAAGGCTGAACTGTTAAAACTTGATAAGCTAGATGAAAAGGTCACGTACACTAGAATAACTGGAATTGCCTTCGCGCGTGTTCTTGTCACAGTCACGTGCCTATTTCCGGTACTGATTTGTTTCGCCATCGGTCCAATGTATCCAGACGTTTATTATCCGAATGTCCGATTTCTTGATGACTTAATCATCCTTCAGTCTGCAGTTTCTCCCTTTGTATCAATGCATGATTCGGACTTCCGTGATACGTTTGTTTACCGGAAGTGGAGATATTGTTCACCATTCAAACACAGGACGAACAGCAAGAAAGGAAGCAGACGAAGTAATTGTATTACGTCTGCTGATATGAAAACATTCGGACAGAATTGAAAGTTACCGTTAGTTCATATGCTTTATGTTACTGGAAGGAAGTTGCAAAGCTAGTGCGCCAATATGATCTATCATGGATTTGAAGAACTACTATGACATGTTTATCACGTTAATAATCATTGAAAAAAGGTTTTATTAAATATTGTGCTTTTGAAAATAAAAGGAGTAAAGTATGTTATTGGTTTCTGACAATCCAAAAGTTTTGACATTAAATATTTTAAGCCTTACATATATACTTGAGATAATCGAGTGAAGCCTATTTTCCTTCTTCGCAGTTCAAACTATAAAAATAAGTCATTGCATTGCATCCAACCGGTGCTAGCATAAATTTCGCCAAGGATGTTTGCTCATCTCATCTTGCTCATGTTTTGTGTTGCAGAACAAAGTGATGTATATTAAATGTATATTTAAATGATCCATTAGAGTTCGTGCTTTCTTCCATAATATATCGAATATTCATACAGGAAGATTTCAGTTTTCTAAAAAATATCATAGCTACCACTTTAGCATGACATCTCTTAAAAATCTAAATATTTGAAACTCTATTTTGCTAGAATTATAGAAATTATAAACTGATTGAACTGGGTAAGCGGCATGATTAAATAATAATAAAAATAATAATTAGAAATCATTTGATCTTCAGATTTGATAATTAGATCTATAAATCTGAAATATCTGCATTAACACTATTGAATTGTCTATGCTCTAAAGTTCAGTAAGGTGAGTCTATTTACCAGATATTTGTTAAATGTGTTCAATATTTCCTGTCATACGTGAACATTTTATTGATTTAAAAATATAAATATACACCATGTCAGTCATATAAACTCATTCTATAGCTACGATCTTGGAATAATGTCGATGACGTCCTATCATATGCCGCCACACACTTCTTCGTGTGATAAAGCTATGCCGCTAGCTGATTTTACTCGCATGCGTGCACGTGTCTGAATGCACGTTACGGCACTTGATGTCCTCCTTCACCAGTAATGCTGGAAATTCGCTACATAGCTCTATCAAAGTGTTGGTGTTGGTAGTTTACCCTATGGATCACAGAAGTAAGCCACATTGAATTATACCAGAGCACAGTTCAGCCACCGCAACGTGTATATAATGGTGTGACATTAAACTCAGCAAAATACTCGCTAATGTATTCAACCAATGGTCTCAGATCTTCAGATTAGATTAAACAATGCACAATATACGTAGCCGATTGTCAATATAAGTTATTAGCCAAAAACTCGCATATAAAACTGCGTTGTCATTTTCTTTTCTTACAGCATTAAGATGTCGAGATTTTTGTTTGCTCCATGTCAAATCGACGCTTCTTAATTAAGTATACCTTATACAATATATACTACAGAACAGAAACGCATTCCAGTAAAGCAATATTGAATTAACTTCTACAAATCAAGGATTATGTAAAATTTCGGAGATAGAAGACACAGATCATTTGTTTACACATATGTATTTGTTATGTTTTAACAAGTTTATATGTTTATGTTAACATAGTATAGAATACACTGTAATAGTTATATAATAAATAAATATATATAGCGGCATATATACTTTAGTTCAAACGCATAAATACACTACATTGATGTAAAATAATAGTAAATAATATAAACAACAAAAACAATACATCACAACCTTTTGGACAAGCATAATAAAAAGTATATAATTATGCGTTAAAAAGCAAAACAAAACAAATTGGACGGAAATTAGAAACAAACCACGTTCGATTAATACTGATAAAATCGATTGTACAATTACTTTTATACTTAGATGCATTTTCAGTGAAGAACATACAAAAAATGTTTCTGTCAAACAATATTACTAATTCTTGAGCACCTTTATGTTTTAAATGCCTAACTAAAAAAGATTTACGCAAACAATCAAAAAGGTGTAACATCATTCTTTTGGTACTGCGAGTTTCTATAGTAACATTATTCATATTTGTTGGCAGATTTTTATAACCTCAGAGATTGTGAAATTAAAGCAATGAAATATATAACGAGAGACTTTGGCCAAAGTCTTGAAAATAGTTTTCAAAATAATGTTCAAGGACATGAGTGCACGTTCAAAGTAAAACTATATTTCTGACGAACTTTTGCATTACTATGATAAAAAAATAATTATTAATTACCGCTAAACGTGTCATTCATTAGTTTACAAAATGGCAACAATTTGAAATAATGATGATCGTCCGTTTACAACGTAAAGTGGGTAAATTCATATCAAGCAATTCATACAGAATTGTTTATGTTGCCCCATAGCTTGGTTGTTTTAAGCATTGTGGGATCATTGTGATCTCACTTCCTGTTTTCAAGGTCAATTCAACCGTACAAAGGTCAGGGTTATAGCAACCAAATACTGGATGCAGCGCTTCTGAAAACTCCAGTTTATCGAAAGAGTGTAAGACTTTGTTGTTGTTGCAGTCTGCAATGACCCATTTCTTGCGGCGAGTGTCGACAAGGAATCCGTACGTAATACGCATTTCTATACCGGAAGTGTTATCAGACAACGGGATAATGTTCAAGAGATCTCGATTGTGCCAAAACTCCATTGACAACTTCCCGTCTTCCGGGTACCTTGCAACGTAAAATGACCGCGCATACTCGTGACGTTCGACTGTGTGGTGCATGTCTACGTCATCAAGTCGACATAACCCGATTTCAAACACCAGCCATGTTTCCTCGAGAGGTTGTTGAATATTATAAACTACGTCAACCTCGTAATAGAATTTTCCCTGCTCTTGGAATGGAATCGTTCCAATGGCCCCTTTGTACTGCACGAGACTATTTTCCAGGTCGATTCCACTTGTACTGAAGATGTCGGTCTTCTTGTTTCTTAGCGTCCTACCGTCTTTGCTAACTTCCCGCTCGTGATGTGCTGAAGTTGGGTCCATCTGAAAGTCCGGACCTTAAAGACAAAATAATAATAAAAAAACACTTCATATGGCAATTTGTTACTTAGTTACTCTAAAAATCGTTGATCTAATGGGAAACGATGCTTACAAGAACAGCATATTGATAACAGAAAGGAGTATGTTATTTAAAGAAAAAAAACTAAATTTTTAATCATTTATGACATATATTTGTATGTAAAAGATAACTACACAGAAGGATAAACAAATGCATTTGAGCGATTATTTTAATACACATACGAGTATTTCAAATTAATTATTGAAGAAGGCTGGATAATTTTTTTTGTAATATTCTTTGTATATCTTATATACTATTAAAGTTGGTCCATGCGATTCACAAATGTGAATATAATAAGAGAAAAGACACAGGTGTGTTCTAGTCAGTTTTATTATCTGGACTGATGCATTGGCGGGAAATCTCCCAAGATATAACATTCTACAGGCACAACGTGGTCAGTGGAAATTTACAGAAATGAGTATTAAGGTTAAAGGTCATATGAATATAAAATAACTCAATATCATTACATTTCCCTCTTTTTAAATACATAGCTGAATGGTATTCACTTGTTAATAAATCATAAAGGAATATGGTTCAATTTAGAAATAACGTTAGAATAACACATGTTTAAATATCAATTAAATAATTAATCAGTTTATATAAACAAATATATGTTTATCAAATAAAGTATGTGTTTATTCCAGTTTATATATATTTTACTTTATAGTTTATTTTTTTGTTTGTGATGTTTTCTTATTAGTAAACACATAGTATTTTTTTTTTCTTTCAATTGTTCACCATGTTCTCATTATAATATCGTTTGTTCAATTTCACTTCCCTGCCTGATCGTGTGTGATAATAGTGGTCAATTGGGCTGGGCTTATTGGAGGTCAATGAGTGGTCAGCATCATGTGATTCTGAAATTTTTCCATTAATTGAGGGAGTGATAGGGTTATTAGCCAAAATGTTGGGGGAAAATTCCTGAATTTCTGGGACAGTTTCTTCAGTTTTATTAAGCATTCGCCTATTTCTGCGGTAAATGCCACCTGCATGAGTTATTACAGAGTAGGATCGGTCATTGTGAATTTTTATCACTTTTGCTGGTTCCCATGTGTTGTTGACCTTGATGCGGACATACTCATTAAGTGTAAGAAGGGGTAGTTGCTTTGATGTTTTATCATAGCAACTTTTTTGTTTCTGCTTTATTTTTTGCATCTTTTCGCGTACCTGTTTACAATTTACTGTTTTGGGTTGTAACTGAGAATTTGTGGTAGGTAGAATAGATTTAGTTCTTCTACCCATTAGTAATTGATTTGGGGAGAAGCCACATTCAAGAGGGGTGTTTCTGTACTCAAGTATCGCGAGATAAGGATCTCGGTTACTCTCCTGAGCTTTCCTGAATATCCGTTTAATAATCGACACTGTTTTTTCGGCCAATCCATTACTGTTTGGGTGGAGTGGGCTGGATGTTATGTGGGAAAACCCCCAATCTTTTGCAAAATCTGAAAATATTTCAGAAGAGAATTGTGGCCCATTATCAGTGACAAGTTTGTCACAAATGCCATACCTTGCTAAGTGAACTTTTAGCTTTCTAATTATAGTAATGCTTTGTGTGTTAGGTAGAGCATCTACCTCAAAGTATCTACTATAGTAGTCGACAGTCAGCAAGTAGTCCTTACTGTCAAAGGAGAAGAGATCAGCGGCAATGTTTTGCCAAGGTCGGTCCGGCACGTCGTGGGGAGTTAATGGTTCTTTAGCGTTGGAATACCTGTACTTTTGACATAAAGCACATTTTAAGACATGATTCGTGATTTCTTTTGTCATACCAGGCCAAAACATTACGTCTTTAGCCCTTTGTAAACATTTTTCTACACCCATGTGACCTTGGTGCACTGATTCAATCACCTGTTTTCTTGCAGAGACAGGTATGACGATTCTCTGCCCTCTGAATATAAGGTCATTTACAGACGACAATTCGTCCCTGTGGTTCCAGAACTCAATTATTTCTTGTTTACAGTCTGCACGTGAAACTGGCCATCCGTCAATAATAGTTCTCTTCAGAATCTGCATGCTCGTGTCATTTTGAGTTTCATGCCTGATTGATTCCAGTCTGTTATCGGTTATGTGTAACCCTTTCAACACTGTATGTACATGTAAGTCGAGACCCTCTAATTGTAATGTCTCTGGAAGCGGTTGTCTAGATAGTAAGTCACTGATTGGTACTTGTTTTCCAGGAACGTGGCGTACGTCAAGGTCATATTTTGATAACTGTAACCGCATTCTTTGAAGTCTCGGTGGACATGCAGACAAACTTTTCAACATGATTGAGCTAATAGGTTTGTTGTCGCAGTGTACAATTACATGTCTACCGTATACATACTGATGGAAGCGCGTGCAACCAAACAGTATTGCTAACATCTCTCTTTCTATGTTAGCATAATTAGATTCAGTCTCTGTCAATGTCCTAGAAGCGAAGGCAACTGGGCGGCCATTTTGGATGATGGCTGAGCCGACCCCACGCATCGAAGAGTCAGATTCAAGAGTTACACTCTGTTTTGGGTCAAAGTATGCAAGAACAGGGGTACTTGTGATTATGTTTTTCATTTTCGTAAATGCTTCTGTCTGGGAAAAATCCCAAACAAATTCTACATCTTTCTTTAGTAGGGATCTCATGGGGCTTGTGACCTCTGCTAGGTTTGGAGAGAATTTTTGCAGATAATTTGCCATACCAAGAACATTTTCAAGTTGCTGTCTATTTTCTGGTATTTTGAGGTTCATAATTGCCTCTATTTTACTAGGATCTGGCTTTAACCCTGTTGATGTTATAAGGTGACCAAAGAATGGGACTTCATTTACCCCGATGATACATTTGTCGGGATTGAACTTTACTCCCTTGGAATGAGCTCTTTCAAGGGCGTTACGCAAGTTTGCGTCATGTTCTTCACGTGTCTTCCCATATATCAAAATGTCATCTACTATGGCTGTTAGACCCTGCAATCCTTCAAAAATTTCATCTACTTTCTGCATGAATATGTCACTCGATGCAGATATGCCATATGGGAGTCTTAACCAACGGTATCTGCCGAATACCGTGCTGAAGGTTGTTAATAATGAAGACTGTTCATCAAGTTTGATGCTCCAGTATGCGTGTGTAATGTCAAGAATGCTGAAGTATTTTGCATCAGTCAGTCTTGATGTAACGTCGTCAATAATACGCATTGGGTAGTGAGGTCGCCTTATAGCCTCATTTAAAGCTTTTGGATCAAGGCAAACTCTGAGTTTACCTGTCTTTGGTTTTTCTACAATGACTAGGGAGTTTACCCAGTCCGTGGGTTCAGTGACCTTAGTTATTATTCCATCATTCTCCATGCGCTGGAGTTCTTCGTGAAGCCTGTCCCTTAAAGCTTTCGGCACTCGCCTAGGTGCGTTTATTACAGGAACAGCATCACTCTTAATGTGAAGTTTACATTCACCTGGGATGACCCCTACACCTTGGAATAAGTTCCCATACTCTGACATGACCCTTTGTTTATCTAATTCTGTATTTGACCTGTCTATTGAATATGTGAGCTTTATCAGGCCTAAGTTTACAGACGATTGTAAACTTAGCAGCGGGACAGTCGGACTATCAACAACATAACATAATGACTCGCTAGTCTTGTTGTTGTAGCGCAATTGCAGATTTATTATACCGCATACAGGTAACATGTTGCCTGTGTACGATGTTAATCTATTTTCTGCGATTTCAAGAGGTCGTTTTATCTTTAATTTCTCATAATGGCTCAATGGTAGAATATCTACCGCGCTCCCAGTATCTATCTTAAATTTAACAGGAATATGGGAAGGACCGACATTAATTGGAACAAAGGCACGATCAGGAGTAGAAGATGAAAATTTTACCATATCAACGTAATAATCCTGATTTTCCGAATGAACGTTGTCACTATAATTGTATTCAGAATACTTCACATTGTCAACGTTTTTATTTCTAGATCTGCAAACGCTTGCAAAATGATTTTGCTTTCCACATGCGTAACACGTTGAATGTTCAGCTGGACATTTTGACCCTTGCCTATGAGTGTTCTGTCCACATCGTTGACAGTTCAGTGGTTTTCTTCCATCTTGTTTTTGAGTGTTATGATAATTTCTTTGTTGTTGTTGTTGTTGTTGTTTAGGTTGTTGAAATGGTTGGTTCTTGTATCCTTTATGTTTTAATTTGTGCTGCTTAACCAGGTGTACATCATTAGCTGCTGCCATTGATTGAAGTTGTTTCTGTGCATATTCGTGTGCTTGTGCGATTTGAATAGCATTTTCGAGTGTTAATCCCTCGCCTTTGTTTATCAACTTCTCTCGTACTTTTCCAGAATTTGTCCCAAAAACAATTCTGTCTCTGATCATTTCGTCCTTGTCTTTAAAGCTGCAATCTGCTGCACTTAGTCTTAGTCTTGTGATGAAGGCATCAATACTGTCAGTGCCTTGCACTTCATTGTTAAACTTGTACCTCGCAAATATCGGGTTCAAGGACGGCTGCACATGTGCCTTAAACTTATCATAATAACTCTGAAGATTTTCAGCATCATCGCCAGTGAAGGGTTCCCATGTAGCGTGAATGTCCCTGCCCTTGTCACCGACCCATATCAACAAATATGATATTTTTTCTTTCTTAGTTTTGTTCTTGAGCGGCCCTGTAAACATCAGTTCCACATGCCTTTGGAATTTAATCCATTGTTCAGGAAGATTTGACGCCTCCCAGTTTATAACTGGCACAGAAAGTCCTGTTAATTCCATATTTTGTTGTCTTATATTCCAACTATAAATTCTGACACCATGTAATATTCTTTGTATATCTTATATACTATTAAAGTTGGTCCATGCGATTCACAAATGTGAATATAATAAGAGAAAAGACACAGGTGTGTTCTAGTCAGTTTTATTATCTGGACTGATGCATTGGCGGGAAATCTCCCAAGATATAACATTCTACAGGCACAACGTGGTCAGTGGAAATTTACAGAAATGAGTATTAAGGTTAAAGGTCATATGAATATAAAATAACTCAATATCATTACATTTTTGACATATATAAAGACAACTCTGTAACACAAATAAAATAAATGGTGAAATAGATAGCAGTTAACAAAATATCGTGAGAGCATGCAACGCATTTTTTCACATGCTCTTTGGCGTCGTGGCGTTATCCTTAATTCCATTAATTTCCATATTTCGCACACAAGAATTAATGGGGGACATTAGTGAATAACCTCCCCTGAGTACTCCCTATAAATAGATAGGTCCTAAGCAATTGGATTACTCGGACTTTATCGCCTATTTCTTTGTAGCAAACTGAATTAATTATGGCTAATTATTATCATTTGTAATATTCAGATTAAATATTGCGATAAGATGTAGAATCTGTTGACATAAATGAAACATTTTTTCTTATTGTTAAATATTTGTTGATGCATGTGGAAATAATTGATTAAAACATATCAACCTGTCTTACATAAAACTCAACGATAAAAGCAAAGGATTCCAAATATTTGGACCTACTTACATTTTGGTTAACATCGGTTTTTATCAAGGGAAGATAATCCACTATTGTCCCTCATTGGTCCTCAGATAATTTCGCACGTTTTGCAAACATTCGTTGTAATATGATATCAAGGTGGGCTATCACGTGGTGTTTCCTTAGGGTAACCTTATCTACAGGAGTATCGGAAACAAACTTTCTTCTTAAATTCCACGGATATTTGAGAATTGTGAACTTCTTTGTGAATTGTGAACGCTTGAGAAATTCCTCCCAGTAAACATTTTAAACTTATTTTAAGAATTTTCATTAATGCTCTAGTGAATAGCCAATTCAACATAAGAATTACCAAGTTACAAATGACATTCTATAAGTTTCGTCGAGACTAACGTTAACTGTCACAATCATGTGCATACCGAATGACACCATTTTTTTTAAATCCCGAACCCTTCTGGTACAGATCATGTTCAGTGTTCGTGATATATTATTTTTGATGTGTTCAATAGATAATAATTTCAAAATTTCGTTCGGTATATTTTTGCATATTAACGAAGCATATATTAATATGTACATGAATACGTAAGTGTTATGGAACACGACAGTTCAATTTAGAAACATATCTTGCTGTGATTCCTAGATCTGACAAGAGCTGTCAGTAGGACAACGTGCTCGACTATTCTCGGTGTTTGATAGTAATAGGGCATTATATCGTAAAACAACGTTGATACAGTGATCTCTCCCTGTACACCGGTTGAGATTATATGATGGTGAACAAGTGTGCAAAGTCTCAAAGCCATATGTCGATGGATTTACATGAGGTGATTATCTGAATAAATTATAAATAAACTAGAAATTCAACTTAACATGAAAAACAATTGGTGCATATTCATTATCACAAAAACGCGCTTAGCACAATATTTTAATAATCTTATGCTCATTTTGTAGAAAACAATCCATATTTCAATTGACTTTGAATATATTTGAACTGATACGCAAACTTTAACATAAGCGGTTACGCTGACGTCGACACCGCCACCGACGCTGCGGATAGCTCTCCTTTTTATTCGAGCTAAAAATCAAATGCTCTTACAAAATTTCGAAATAACCGATACAAGTGAAAACAGTTTTAACTTCTTGTTATAAATATACACCATCACTGAAAGATACAACGAAATTTAGCGAATACATTTTAAATTATTGGTTCGTCCATTAGCAGTGACCCAATGTTACAGTAAACACATTTCACATGATCATCCACCCTATGGTACTGTATTTTCAATCAATAATAAACACCATATACAATACATAACGCTGTTTCAAAATCTGGCGGAAGCCCACAATCAAATGTTTTCATTTTGTTTGTGAGCTTTTTGGCATGTGCTAACACGTTTTTTTGCAACCGGTGTCGGGGCAAAAACAGTTATAGCAAAAACATTCAGTAGTTTAGATTATTTGGAACAAATAGACATTCAATAGGTTAAATATATAAATCGATTTTATCCGACCATGGCCGTTTTTATGCCAACTCGTTTTTTACTAATGAATACTAGCAGGGGTTTTTTTCTTGTTGTTTTTTTTCTTTGTTTAATTGCAACCACTTTTCCTTTATTCCAAAGTTATAATATTTGAATAATAAACATTATATACAATATGTAATGGTGTTCAAAATGTCAGATCTACATGTACATGAATATATAACTTACATGATATGTCTCCGAATACAATCAGTTTATCAGACGGAGGTTTCCGTGGTGACGGCTGTTTAACCTCAGAATCTAAAGAAAATATCAAAATACAATTCACATAAAACATAAACTGTTTACATTTATATAGAGATCATATTATTACTACAAAGAACTAGTGCATGTTTACCTGAAATTTACGTGATTTGAGATGTGAGCAAGACATCAACATATTTATCGTCTATTGAAAATTTCAAGAAATATTGACAATTTCAAAAACAAGATTAATGACAATTCTAAGAATGTTACAGAATGTTACAACATAACCTTGCTTAAAAGGTTTACCATCTTAACATTTTGAAAAATGAAAAATTTTAAAGTTTTAACTGGACTAAGATGTATAAAATAAAATCTAATGAAGATTTTGTTTTCATTTTTATTGTAATTCATCATCATCATCATCGTCGTCGTCGTCGTCGTCATCGTCGTCATTATTATCATCATCATCATCATCATCATCACCATCATTATTTTTATTATTTTTTTTTTTATATTATCATATTGTAAAATCCGTCATAGACATTACTTTCATTTGAGGAGGGTAAAGTTGGAAGTCCCTAAACGTCCAATAAATATGAACTCCAACTTACGGGCAGCAGCTGTATCTTATAACTTACATGAAAACTAACAATGTTAGCATAATATAAATCTTGTAAAAAAATCAGACAAAACATGATGCGTTGAAGTAATGACTGAGACGATGTCTGCTACTACTGTCGACGAAAACGATTGTGCTGATGCTGATACTGCTGCACTTGTTGTTACTACATAACAACGATGATGATGATGATGATGATGATCATCATCATCATCATCATCATCATCATGACCATGATGGTGATGACAAACATCATCATCATCATCATCATGTTGAGATGAAACATAAGTTTTATTATAAGAGGCATTTTCTCTAAAACTCACAAAGCAGGTGAATACAATTTAAGATTGTCCAAAAACAAAAGAAAATAAGAAAAGATATCTTAATATTTAGTGCAGTGTCTTATTAATAATAAAACACTTAAACACTTAGAAGACGCTTGCATACACTATCCTGGAAAATTAAAACACACGCTAGATAGAAAGTGGTTAAAATACTTTAAAGTATTTATTTACTGACTTAGAGAGTATTTAGAAATTATAAGAGAAATGAATTAAACACTTAACATAGCTTTTAAGTTTTACTTAAATTTGTGTTGCGTAAAAGAAACTCTCATTTAAGATAAATTCTAAATCAATGAAATGGGGAAAAAAACTTGCTGCAAAGCAAAATAATCTAGAATGCAAACACAAAAACTGTTTAAAACATGGGAGAAAATAAAATGTTGACAGTGTAGATAGACATTATGACTATACGCATGTTTCTGGTTTGAACCGGTTGTTAGCAGCGAATATTGTTTATGGCGATTTTAGTAATAATTTGGAACAGTCTTTGAATAAAGGTTATTCAAGAAGCCAATGTTGTTATGCTACGACATACCTCACGTGTCGTATGATAAATACACTTGATTCCAGGAACAGCAAAATATAGCGACAAAGCAATTATATGAAAACGACCATGCGTGAGAAAAGCAAACAAATATTCATATAAAACATTCAAGTCACATATAAAAGCATGCATAATCTGAGAAACATTAAATATGTAAGATTAAGCCAGAAAACAGACAGAAAGCCGGGTTATTTTTACAAGTACATTTGGTTAACTTGCAAATTCAGGGCAAGCAAGGTTATCTTTCACAAAATGCCATGCTTTTTAAACCTACAAGAACTTTCTGTAAGTTTCGGTGTTGATGGCGTATTCTGTCTCTTTGGTATTCCATTTGTTTCCTTTTGATCTAAGTTCCACGTGACATTTTGTGTTTTCGCTTTCGTCTTTGGAATGTCATCGTCATTTCCGGTTTTAATCGTCCCGTTGCAAACGAGGCTATTCTGCAGACGACCATTTAAAGTACTTCCGGTTTTAATTGGAGAATTTATTCCGTATAGATTCAGCTTAGGAACAACTTGGCTTTTACTTGTGTTTGAGTTAGACTGGCCCTTTCTAGCTTTAATAGGTATGAATATATTAATTAAATCTAAATAAATCTATGCTGATGAAATTATTCCAGATCAAATAATCCTTCTTTTGGTCAAGATGTGAACATGTCAATTATGAAACAAACATACCAGCTAAAAATCTTACTAGCATTTTTATAACTGAATGTTCCTAGCTAAATTATTACAACAAAGCAGCAAACGACATTGGTGTGAAAATGAAACCAATCATGGTCATAAAATGAAACCAATCATGGTCATAAAATGAAACCAATCATGGTCAGCAATCATAATACCGACATTTGTCACTACAATGCTTTTTTGAATCATAAAAAATAGAATCAAACCAAATGGTATTCAAGTTACTGTTCCGACCCGACTCTCAGGCCAATTCTAACTTATATAAGTATTATAAGTATTGTTATACCAAAGGAATGGCACAACAAACCGCTTCTGTATGCCTAATATGTATAAATTACTTTGACTATACATATCTTAACGAAACTATTGACACATGTATACCTAGAAAAGATGATCTGGCATGGACATTTCTACTCTTACCATGCAAGAAACACGAACCTTTAAAATGGATAACTTCCGGTTGAGAGATAATTTATGCAAAAAATACAAAGAAAGTATTGAAACATAATGGAAATGATAACGCATTTTGTCATTTGAATGAAGATGCTGGCTTTACAAATTTAAAATGTGATCAAAAATGATGCCAATAAAAGAAATCATTTGACTTTATCTTCTTTACACACCGCTCAAAACTGATTAGTTTTATTATGATAACTGATATTTAGATCGATAATTTACATATTATTCTAAGCATTCACTAATCAGCAAACCAAAAAAGTACCTTACCAAGCGAACTAAAGCACAATATCCTATTTTAAACATCTAAAAGCCCTAAATTTAAGATTTTTTTTGTAAAAAAAGGGCAGTCATTTTTTACTTACAATTTTGCACAAAAGAGTTGTCGTCCCTGTTCCCGTTAGTTGTTGGACTCATTAAACCATTTCTGCTAAATGACGTCACTTCCCCCACAGGCGGTGTTTTGATACCAGGACTTCCGGTTGTGTTATAGGTCTGGTAAATTTGTGACTGTGGTGCATACACCGGTGGCGTGTATGGTGGGGTTCCGGGCGACCTCTGCCGTGAGGGGGACAGGGCAGGGGGCAAGGAAGGAGATTTAGGGAGCTGACGCTCGGACTCTTTATCTCCAGTATCTTGAGATTCTGCAAGATGAAAATAAAAAATTAGCGAATATTTAAAATTTCATTGTAGTTTCGTGTCAATTTGTTGGACAAAAATGGAGAGAGAAAAAACGCATGTATAATGAAAGAAACCGAATACTGATAGCAAACCGTCATATACAAATGAAAAGACTGAAATGATGCTTGAAAAAAAAATCTAATTATTCGAAGATGAAAAATGTCTTACCATACAAAAAATACATCCTGTCACATATGTATATTTAGTTAAAAGTAATAATGAGCAAAGAATAATCAAGAACAAAAAACTGAAGATGAATATATATCTGTTCTGTTATGTAAGAATACATGTTTAAGCAGCTACAGATAAACAGTTAGATGTTAATAGAAGACTCAAGGATAAAGCAGGTAAATAGATGGCGGATTTTTCACAACAGTTATGTAGCCAAGAAACAGATCTTCAATATGCCCAAATTCACCATAACCACCCTAATACACCTTTTAATTGTCATAAAACAATTCAAAATGTACCGTTTGTAGCCTTTATACAAAAAAATGGAAAGCATACACTACAAGCTCTATATCTTGTTGGTGACAGTCACAAATTAAACACCCACGATGAAAAGACAACAGGGCAAACATTCTTGACAAAACAGAGCATTTTAACGCCATTAAAACACATGAAATGTTTAAAATTTAAAAAGCGCAACATATTCAAAAACACCTTTATCAATACAGTTTGTGGAGAAAAAGCAACAATTCGATACCAACGATTGCAATTAGTGGAAACCATGTTATGCTCTTGTTTGTTCCACTTAACATTGAAAACTTAAACTGAAGCAAAGATCTTAGTGAAGTTATTGATTAAACAAACAATAGAAATTGCGATGTTACAGCGTGGAAATATTACGGAATCTGGTTTCAGCTATTAAAATCTGGTTTGTCGAAACTTTAACTATTCAAAAAGTCAGTGCTTTAATTAATTTATAACACGCCAATGTCAAAAGACAAGGTTATGAATGCTTAGTTAATTTCAAATAGCACACATATTCCTGCGTAACTTGTCTTGTTTTGATCAAGGAATAAAAAAGAATATATTCTTTTCTTGCGTGACGTGACTGAAAACATGTTTTTGTCAAATTTGAAAATAAACCAAAATTAGTTTTATTGTTTTAGCTAAATGCATGCAGAAATATTTCGTTAATTTACATGCAGGCGGCCCTGGCGTAAAGCGTTGCGTGGTTAAAATATGTTAGTACTTTTAAATCAATTTCCGGTTGATATTTAGTTTGTCATAAACGCGAAATTACTAGGCTATTTATGTTAAAATAAAGAACTTTAAGCGGTAAAAGGCAGTCTGAACGCGATTTTGAAACGTAATCTATATTCTAAAAAGAGATATCTGCTTCAATGCACGTAACACCTGTGATCTTAACCTGCGATCTTAACATATATGCTAGAAGTCCGATGATCACCAATGGGTGCTTCTTCGACAAGAAATGTCGAGACCATAGTTATATATAATGTATATCGACAATGCTAAAAGACGTAATATATATCTAATGTGATGCAATGCAATGTACAGTGATCGTGTACTATTTCGACTGTTCACATTATACTGAATTATAGCCAACACCAGACTCCGTAAATTGATCACGTGACACTTATGGATATACTTAACCCTTCTTCTTAACGGACGATGAATGGCACCGTATAACCAGTTGGAAAGATCGACCATCTAAAACAAAGTAGAGTATCTACACAGTAACACGTGCGATATCGAGTGTCTTAAACTGGCTTTATACATTTAAAACCATTTAAAGAGAAAAAAAATAAAATGTCATTAATACATTAGATTTGATTATATTGATATTTATGAACTCCATATTGTTTGTATCAACGTCTTGGTTAATTAATATGAGCACGAATTTATAGGCATCTATCTGCATTTAGTCGGATTTAATTATCATCATCATCATCAATATCATCATCATCAATATCATCATCATCATCATCATCATTATCATTATTATTATTATTATTATTATTATTATTACTACTACTACTATTACCATTACCATCATAATTATTATTATCATTATTATTATTATTATTATTATTATTATTATTATTATTATTATTATTATTATTATTATAACGTTGCTGTTGTTGTTGTTTTTGTCTTACACTTTAAATTATAGAAGTTTGCTAACCGTTGGACATAATCAGGGACTGTTAAGGTCATGGCAATTCCACAGAGATGAAATCACGTGTCTTGTAAAGGTACTTTCAAAGGTTTCAGTACAATGACATTCGTTGATTGTATTTTTACAACTTCCTCTCTTCAAGTTTAGACAATTCATTTCCAACAACATGTGTCCTACCTTTTCACCTTTTGCACTGAATACTTTTCGATATTGTCCAGAAATCAGACCAAGTGAGTAACTAATTTTATCTTTACATTCTTTAGAACAATGACGTCATAAATTAAGAAGAGCGTTTTGCAATTTCTCGTTTGAGACAAGATAATTTCCTACTTAATTTGTTTTCTGTAAATTCTTCAAGAGAAAAATGAAATCTCGTATCTTAAATAGTTGAACACACTAAGAACGAACCTGAAAAACCATGTATGTATTTCCAATATTGGCGTGAAAAAGTATGAAAAATGTATTTATTCATTTAGTTATATATTTATTTATTTACAAAAACTGTCACAACAAAAACATGCTCATGTTCTACAGAATAATACCAGAGACTTCTTTCATTAGGCCTAATTTACCTTTATTTTTATTTCACTGTACTTTATGTATTAACAATTTTAAGCTCCGTCTAATCTTTAGATATTTGCATCAGTTAAATACAAGTGTGGCCTTTATTTTAGTGTTTCAAGTACTAATATGGAGCGGTCTGTTGGTCAGAATCAATTTTACTATAGTCCACACCTTATCTGTTCCACTAGAAAAGAAGATATAAATCGTTCCCATCATCAATATAAAATTAAGTAATATATGTGACATTAATCATAGTCATAAGTACATCAAATAAGTAAATAAGTGCATTTTGTTTGAATTTCCATAGAGAAAAAGCAGGAATGGAAAAAGAAAAAGTGAAAACAAAATTGAATCCTTTGTGCAGCAAAAAATGTGGCGGCCATACCTGTACAGAAGATGACAATAAACATTCATATTTGTGTCATTTATTATGAACCATTATTTTTTTAATACATATTTAAAGATTTGTCCGAAAAGACTGTTTTGATATGTAAATAATCTTGCAAATATGCTGTAATTATGTCATCATGGGCTTATAAGCCTTATTTGATTGAAATGAACTGTCTTTCTGTTTACAAGAAGTGTATATGGCTGGGAGTAGGACTGTGTTCATATGTGCACTCGTGCTTTTAGAGAAAAAAGGGAGTGGTGCAATACACGTGAGAAAGGGTGTAAATTAACAAAAACTCGTGCATAGTGTGAGCATTGTGAAACACGTGCAAACTAACCGTCGAATTCTTCTCTATTGTTAAGAAACAGTTTGCTCTTTGTCTGCAGTTCGTCTGAAATAACGTATACATTTGAGCCACGCCACGACAAAACCAACATAATGCGTTTGCGACCCGCATGGATCCAGACCAGCCTAGCCTCCGCGCAGTCTGATCAGGATCCATGCTGTTCGCTTTCAGTTTCTCTACTTGTTATACGGTTTGTAAGCGAACAGCATGGATCCTGATCAGACTGCGCGGATGTGCAGGCTGAGATTGATCCATGCTGGTCGTAAACGCATTATGTTGGTATTGTCATGGCGCGGCTCATTTGCTTAGTAAGACACTTTTGGTATAGTTCGCATATGATGCAAAACATATGGTTAGATTAAATTAAACGAAAATTAGTGAACACCTTCTGTTAATAATCTTCTGTTAATAATTTAGATGGCTCTGTCGGTATCAAACATTTAATTAAAATTTGAAAGTAACTAGATATGATTATTATTATTATTATTTTATAAAACAATTTGAAATAACAGAGCATATGTGCAAGTTCAAAGTTGCCTATTAATAATTTCTGAATTTCTGGGAGGAAAAATCAATAAAGTGTTGTTGTTATTTTAACTAGCAAACTGTGTGAAAACGCGAGTTGAAATATACATGTACATGACTGTATTGAATTACAATAATTACTATTGAAGCAGCTGCAGTACAAAATAAAAATGGGGAAAAAATAATAAAAATAAATAATAAAACACCGAATTTTCTACAAAGCAAAATCTATAAACGATTTTTAATTATTAGTTCTAAGGGAGCGAGACTACGTCAAAGCTGAAAAATAAAAAGATATATAATAAAAGCAAAATACTGTATAAAAAGCAAGATGAATAAAAAAAGTTGGGTGTAGAAGGGACATAACTGTGCTACATTTTCACCTAACATCCATTGATGTTTCTTTTCACGGATAATCTCCCTTGTTTGACTATGAAGCGTATCTGTAATGAGGATTTTTTTTTCTGCATAAATCATAGTCTTAGGAAATAAGATGATTGCGGTTATGTTTGTTGTTTTGAAGTTATACATGCCTTAATTAAGTAATGTTATAATAATATCCCAGTAAAAAGATTTCTAGAAACTCTAGTTAAATGACAGGCTCATTTTTCAACGCAATGACTAAGGATAAATCCGCCGTGTACACCAAGTAACGCAGGAACACGTTTTCTTTAACTCTGTTTTCTGTATTTGAGTTTTACATTTCAGTTGAACATACTTTAGTCTTGTCTTAGGTACAGACATATATCTATAAGTGTGCAAGCTTGCTTATGATATGCATTGGAAGATACGAACTTGTAAATTTGTTGTTGTTGTTGTTGTTGTTGTTTTGTTTTGTTTTTTTCATCTTAGGGCAGCTGTTATGATCTATATGTAAACATGGTATTTAAAAGTGGAAGCCTCAAATTAAATGATTGGATTAAGAGGCATGTTATTTCCTGTGCACGGATACAGTCAAAATTACTAGACATACACGTTCGCATTTTCAAAAGTAGTTTTCAAAAGGAACGCTTTAAATTACATGTCTGGAATTTTGGCAACGAACCCCCCCCCCCCCCCATATGCGTGATTGAGGATAAAAATCATTTTGGTCAGATTACTTACCGTGTTACTCGTTTTAGCCATAGCGTTGAACAGATTCGGCGTTACGTATATGCATTATTTGATCATTCCTGCGTTACTGGATATACTTGGTGATACCGTACATTTTGCATCTTTGTTTAATTTGTTAAATGTTTGTTTGTGTGTGTTTCTTTGTTTGTTATAAACAAACAGTGGTAAGATGTTGGAATGTTAGTTTCTGAATTCATCAAAACGCATTAAAAGTTAAAATTTGCTCGCATGTTTTTTATTGGTCAAACAATAAAAGCATATCAAAATATTAAATTATATGAAGTACATGCTTCATGTTTGTGAGTTAAATGGTAACTTAAAGAAAATTCGAAACAAAACATAAAGTCTAGACTTAAAATACGAGCCTATTCAATGATTTGCGAATGTTGTAATGAACATGTGACTGCTTCAAAACGCAATGTTTTGTTAACAATGACTCTGCAGTTCTTAAAACAGGTGAAAATAACACCACTGAAATGTATATATACAGCGTGTTTTATGGGCAGGCAATATACCTCAGTATACTGCTTACTCCAATATACTTTCCAACTAAACAAAATACCAATGTAAATATTGAAATTCCGGAAAACATTTGAACGATTCTGCAATAAATAAGACAGTCAAAAGAGAGGACGATTCGTTTAAGTAAAGCATATCTTTCACATAAATTTTTATATGTATTTGAAAAAAAAAAAATATGTTTGTTATAGTCAATGAAGACGTCGTATGTTGTCTTAATTAGACAGAAATATTTCAATGATTAGGGCATAGAACAGACGTGAAATTCCTCAGGTGTTTCCTCCGGTAATAGAGGGCCATTGAGAAACGTTTACTTTATCGTTGTCGCAACAATTTTAGCATGACTGAGAAATGAATTTTATTAACTTACTGAGGAAATCTCCAAGTGATGTTGCCTGCTTGTTTGGAGATATAACAGGCGATTTCAGGGACAGTGGTCTTCCTAGCACGTTCTCATTTGTTCCTGAAAAATACAAAGAGACGAAACAATCCGATTATTAATCATGAAGGGAGGTAACTGTGATTTCATTAATTATATTATATATCATGAATTGTCTATCTTGATAACTAATATATTATACTAGTATCATAACAAATAAATCTCATTTTTAGTTCAATCTTTTATCTAAAATCAAAACTGAACTCAAATAAATACCTAGATAACTTCTTTTTTCAACTTTACTTTTGCCCAAATTTTACAATATTGTTAACATTTTTTTTTCAAATGAATTGACTGGAGTTAAGATCCATGCTAATTTTCATGAATATTCAGGAAGTATTAAAAGACTGTCATACAAACAAATTACGTTTGTTTTAGGCTAACACAAGATAGCATTTACTCCGTTAGTAACGAGGTAAGAATATAAAGATATAAATAGTAACTTCATCCAAATTGTCCATACAGAATGTGGAACTTAATATGGATTATGAATAAATATATAATTATACGACTGTAAATAAGTGTTTCTAAAGTTTGATTTGTGACACCTGATATAGATGTGTATCGATATTGAGAATTGTTGCATATTCCCGACACTCTTACTACAATGTTCTAAAGCTTAATTTTTGGAAATATGCTTGCTCATATGGAAACCTATCGGTTCATAAGCATTAAATATGTAACACATACAATTATTTATCTTAATTATATAATTTTCTATATTACCTTTAATCACTGGTTTATGATGGTTATTGTTGCCATAGAGATCAAGTTTTAGAGATTCTGGCTTTCCTGTCAGTCGTATTTCATTGGTTGGTTTCACGGGTGAATGTTTGGTGGTGGTGTATTTCCCTGGAGGATTTTTGGGCGAACCTCTATACGGTAGTACAAACTTTTCTGGCACTTCCGCTGTTCCGTTCATTTTCGGCGATGTTCGGTCGCTTTCGTTATAGAAGTTCGTCCGTATTTCCCCAATGTTATGAACGATTTCTTCAAATCTGTCCTGCTCTACGCATGCGTCGAAATTCAGTTCAGTCGCTTCGGGCAAGTTTGTTTCGAACTCACTGTCAACCATTTGACTAAGTTTGGCAAGAACAATGTTCTTGAGTTGTAAAAACTCTGGTTTGTTTGTAAACACAAGCATTCTGGAAGAATAGTTACATGAATTTTCCATGTCAGATTTACTTTTCTGTAACTTGGTCAGCTGACCTTTGATCTCATTTTTCCTTTCTTCACATATAACATCCACTCTTTGCTTCAGTTTTTCTCGCCTTTTTTCTAACACTTTCGCAAATGAATCAAATAAGTCGTCTATCTGTTTATTCATTTCGGCATGCTTAACTTCAACAACGTTCTCTTCTGCTTCTAGAGTTTTGGCCTCAGAGCTTACGCCTGAAATTTTACCCAAAAGCTCTCCAACAAGGCGTTCTACCGAGAGTTTGTTCTCTTCGTAAATTTCGTTTAAACTTCTAATCGAGTGTCCGTTTGTTTGACTATGATCACCCACAACACATTGGGTGCAAACTGGTTTTTGGCATTCCTCATTTTCGCAATAGAAAGAAAATGGCTGATCCTCGTGTCCCGGAAGTGAACACATCTCCTTGCGCGTGAAACTACCAATACCGGCATTCTTCAGTTCGTCGAGGGTCAAAAGGGTATGGCGTCTGGTGAGCTGTGTTCGTTTGTGAGCACTCGTGCACTCCTTGCAGAGGAACACGTAACAATCTTTGCAAAATGTATTTCCATTATTGTTATCGGGACAGTCAGAACAAAGAATACTGGACGGTTTTCGTTGCAATTTGATCATGTCCATCATATTCGTCATGGTACTATCCTTAGAAAAGTCAAGGTCACTAGAAATCGGATGCTCCTCTTGGCAAAGCGCGCACTTTAGAATCGATCCATGCGCAGCATTTAGTGCGCAATCGTTACAGAGCGTGTGTAGGCATGGCAACAATTTCGGAGCTCTTTGGTCCTCATCGTATTCGTTGTTACAAACGTTACAGAGAATGAAGTCTTCGTCTAGATCGTCAATGTTCGCCATTTTGAGTCGAACAAACTATCTGAAATTAAAAAGAAAATACAAATGTATAATGATATTTCAACATTTTGACGTTCTGTGTTTACTTCACATGTATCAGGGTGACATATAGTGTGTACTGATTCTCAAAACTCACTGTTACGTTGCAGTAGAATTTTGTATGATACTGTTTCATTTAGTTAAATCATATAAACATCCAACATAATTCGGACAATATGTTCTCCATTTAATATGCTGTATTTTTCTGAGACTATACACACGTTAGTATAAAGCTACATTCATAAATATAGGATAAACATATATTTTGAATTTTACCTTAAAATGAGGAATGCTTTTGTCCAGATTGAAAGATAGTTATTAAGCTTATTTAAAATATTTAGCGTGGTAATGTTAACTAATCATTTAATGGCTTCCGGTTATAACGCCCATCAGGGTAAAGCTAGACCAACTTGTACAATCTAACTAGACTATATATACCATCGGCATTCTACCAAACTCTCACATAAAATTACATGTAATTTAATAATCGTCAACTCCATATCAAAAGCAAGGCAAGTTCGTGGTGCAAATTCTTTCAACATATTAAGTAAAGTTAGGGCTAAATGCATGCAACGTACCTATCAATTATCACAGTTGTGTTTTTAAAAGCAAATAAATAGATAATGATTAAAAAAATCACAAAGACGGATTATCGTATAAATGACGGGTCATGAGATTAATCTTTATCCTCGACCTTTTTTCAAAAATATTTTTTCATTAAAACGATATCTGTCGGAATACTGATTTAGCGGCTAATGATCTTCAATACATAAACTTTTAACGTACCGTTTAACATTTCAACAAAAATCAATATTTGATTGATTTGAATGATTAAATATCAGTGGGCGCGTATCATTTAACTGTTTATATATAAAATACATTCCCAAAAAACATGAAAATGAATACCTTTAAGTAAACTAAAAAGCTGGGAGGGAATAATAAAAAAAACTGGGTTACCTCTGATCTATAGAATTTGAGATGACCAGGCATGTATCTAATCCAAATTAGAGGTATATTTTGTACCAGTATTTATCTATCTATCTATCTATCTATCTATCTTCAAAATTTGTTGATAAATTTGATGTACAGCTAACGTTTTTTTTTTTTGTTTGTTTTTTTTTTGGGGGGGGGGGAATTCCTATGTAGAAAATGAAAATATTGACAATTATTAATGAAAAAAAAAGGTTCTTTTGAATAAAAAGCACCTATTACGTGAATGGTTGATTTTGAAAATATTTGAAAACGTGCCAGAAAAAAACTCGAAAGAAAATGTAGGTCAAGTATGGTCTGTTAAGGAGGAAAATGTACAAGAGAACGTTACGTCTTTTCAGTGCGAGTATCTACATGTACACGTGAATTAAAGTCTTTCATTCAATCTAACTCTTGTAATTAAAAAGGATGAACTTTCACCATGTGCGATTTCCTACATGTATATTAGACGTTATAAAAGTGAAAACGTTCGCAAATCAATGAGTACAAGTGCTGGTATTTCATTAGCTAATGCAATCGTGAGAATTTAAATTAATTAACGTATTGCAATCTACACGTACAATTTTATACTATGAACAATGAGTTATCAATTAAAACCCACTGTGCACGTGAACGGGGAGTTTGAGATAATAAAGCAAGTATTATGAATTACATGAAATGAAAACATATTTTCTTTTATGTATAAAGATATTATTAAAAACAAACTATTATGTTAGTTAATTTTCAGTACATTGCTTATTAACTGTAATTTTCTGCCATGATGTCCTGTATATGAAACTGGCATTAATAAAGCAACAATGTACATTTTATATGTTACTGTTACACTTGTGGTCGTTATAAGCACCTGTATCTGTCAAGGTATATTGTAAATCATTAAAGATACAGACACTGGCCTGTTTATCAGATATGACTTTACTTAAATAAAAAAATGGTCCAGTGGATTATAAATATGCATATTCACACTGACCGTAGTATTACTAATTGTGTATACAAGCCACTTTTTGGTGGTGGTGGCAGCTGCTGTCTCCGGATCAGTTTGAATTCACCAGAGCACAGTTCAGCCATGCACGGCGTCGTACCTGACCAAGCTGTCAAGCAGTTTATCAGTACTACTGCCTTCACTAGTAACTTCTGTAGATTCCAGAGCAGAGGTATAGTACGATTGCCGTAAAAATAATTTCATGACCAATCACAACGAAAATGACCTGCAATGTCAGGGAATCGGACCCGGGTCGCCCAAATTCACAGTCCAACTATGACATAAAACTCAACCAAAAGAAAACAAACTGATAAGTTAATTGGACGGATACAAGCCACCTGGCACGTGCATTGTTAAATTAAGACTTTGAATTCCGGCTAAAAGAACAGCTTTCATTTACTAAACAAATTTACATATTCATGCCACTATTTCAAACATATCAGTTAAATCAACAAATATCATGAATAATTAAAGCCTTTTCGCATATTTGCACTATACAAAATAACGACCATTTTAATCCTTTTCCGTTTTATAATCGATTTCGGTATATAAATAATGTATAATCTAATAGTGTTGTAAAGTGGATATAATAGAGACTTGAGTCATTATGATTAGTATACATGTACACAATATGGGTCTGTTTACATGTAGTAAAACGGCACACTTAAAGCGACGCTTTCATTCATTCATGGAAATGGAATATCATCTACACAAATCTACCTGAATATGTTTGAAATTCGAGAGAAAAAAGAAAAGGTTAATCATTTGTGATACAAAAAAAATGATTAGCAAATTGTTTTTTCACGTAATAATCCTAAACTTACATCTTTAATTGTGTTAAAGAGAATAAAACGTTCGTAACGCTTTGATTTTCAGTTACTTTCTCTTTTCTTATTAATTAATGATAAAAACATGTTTCATGAATTGAACGGCATACCAAATTCATGTGTGGCAAAGGGTGACAGACATTTTCTACAGGCGATTATTAACGAGTACCTTTAGAACGAATTATAAATTCTAGTCTCATTCCGCGTTTTACGCAAATGTCTAAACATTGCACGAATTGCAATTGGAAGACATGCATCATGAGTTATGTGAAAACATTATATCATTTTGCGCAGTTTATGTTTGTAAAAAAAAAAACGTTATTAACTTGAATAGCCCCAATCTATAAAGTATAAGTATTGATTGAAGTGTTTGTTCATTTTCTATATCTATGTCTCGTTTTGAACCCTTATGTATGGAAAAGGACACGTACTTAGCATGTCCAGTTTTACTAGCCACCTGCACCTTTTTACTGTTCAGATAAGTCAACTTTTGTTTTATTTCAAGGTTAAAAGTCTGAGCTGAAATTTTCAAACAGCGTAAATCTAGCGGTATAAACAAGAGCAACATTCAGCTTAAAATTAGTTTATAGTTTCTATAAGCAATTATAACATTTTCTATGAATAAATATACATTTATGTATATAGGTAAATTTTACTTACTCGTTCTTTTTGAATAATTATCCTTTAAAATTTGAGATCTGTATAGTTTTCGTTACTACAAATCCAGTACTAGGTTAAACAATAAAACAATCACTTAAAACACATAATTAACATTTTTGATCTATCAGATTAAAACCATTCATCTTGATTTAGATTCAAATCGATTTTGACACGAAATGAATACCTCTCTCTTAAACCTTAATAAATTTTCAAATGAGCATAAAATAAAGCCTTACCTTGCCTTAAATGGTAATAATGACCAACAGAGGGCGCAGGGCCAAAATATTTTGGCATTATTTTATCCATGAAACGTTTATTTTGCACTAAAATTGAATTGAATGTACCGAATTTGTATGTTATCAAAAGACCGAATGATATATAAACACGGCGTATGGAGTCTAGATTTATTTCCCGGACCGGCTCAGACTTGCATTTTAAGCATTATAAAAAAGGATAAAAGTGCGTTCAGTGGCGAATATTTAATGCCACTGTGTAAATAATATATGTTAACGTTGGTTTTCTACTTTCTAACAGTTTAAGCAAGGCTGTTTTAATCACATTATCGATGTATTGAATGTTGTAACAGATTTGATTTTATTTAAACCCGAAAGTTTATCTTACGGATTTTAGAATGTCACTTTCGCCGTTACATAGGTGTTTTACTTTAAAGTTATTATACATTGATGTTTAAAATCACAAAGTCAATATTTGTAAGATAAAATACCGGAGGTTTCTGCAAGCCCATGCGTATAAAGAAACGGAATGTTGAATGTTTACGTTTTAAATAAGTCTTAAAAAGCACACCTGTTACTTAGATGTGTATTTAGCGGCCACACATGGGGACACTGGTATTATAGACAACTGGTTCCCTGTATGTTCTTGACTAAGAAGTATAAATAGTATCAGGATCCAAATTTCTCTGTCCCTAAATTACGCTTGATACGGATCCTGATTTTTTTTTGTCTTCGAGAGGACTGGTCCCTAGATAAAATTCAAGCTCCTTAAAAGGCCATTAGCTTCAAAATTTGAAACTAAATTAAAAGCAGTAAACAATAAATCTTGGAAGGGGGCTGGGGTGGGTAGAGGGAAGGGGTTAGGGATAGGGTCTGAAATTATTCCTAAAATGTCTACACTGGATGGCATTATATAGCAGCTATATGTTGATATAATCAAAGTGATGAATAAAGTAGCGAACATTATGAAAATACCATAACACAGGCTGGCTGTTAATAGGTGGCCTTCTACACAGGTCAGGTTCAAAAGTAAACTGTGATTCTCTTTTATACGAAGCAGTTTCACACCAGTGATATTTAATAGACCAGAATGCATCAAGTCTTAAGTCTAAGAGTCCGTCATGTTCTCATAAAACAAATGACAACTTCTTTTGGAGAAAAATACTACCTTTACCAAGTTCATGCAGAACTACATGATACACTGGACGTTAAAGAACACGTTAAAGATGAGCCAAAATAAGTCAAGATTTAGAAAAATGTACCACGATTTTCAGAAAGTAAAATGATTCAATATTCAAGTAATAATTTGCATGCTTTGTGCGATTAATGACTGATTTTGCAGTATTTATCACGATATTTCTACTGCGTGACTAACGCATGAAGTTTCTTTCATATTTTGAACTCCTTTATTTGCAAAGTTACGTGGATTGTAAGTGCTATTTGCAATGTGTTGATTATTTTCTTTGTTCACTTAACAATATCTATTTTTTTAATACAATTTCAAATTTTTCAAAAAAAGAAAAGAAAAAAAAAAGAATTAATTTAATCTGTTAGCATGCTGCTTTAAAGTATATACTGTAAAGATGGAATGTGCAGACTAATGAAATTTTGAATATGAGAAAATCAAACAAAAAGTTTAACCCCTTTGAAAAAATCAAACAGTACATTGAGTGGAGCACTTAACAGAGATATGTTACTTTAAACACGAAAATTGATCGCCTACGCATATACATATGTATAATAATTAACAAGAAAATACCACTTGTATCATAATAACGACTGGTTTTTAATAACAATTATTACTTGGTGTAACTTATCAATACGTAGCTACATGTTAATTATCTCAAAGAAAGTATTAAAATCCCCCCCCCAAAAAAAAAAAAAAAAGAGACTTTAAAGACCCATTAAGCCCCTAAAAATGTTAATTTGTTTCGGTGTGCTGTTACAGTTCATTGGCCATATAACTGAAATATTTCCTGTGTCTTTTGCCTTTTGCAAATAAATAAGGACAAATGTACAATCGGCTAGCTAAGCAAAACACTGTTTTCAACGTGAGAAAAAATATCTTCAGATCTGTAGCGATTTTTTCTGGTATTTTAGTAAATAGGATTATCGGTCATGTATAAAAACAAGGAGATTAGTGGACTTCAATAGTTCAATGACAACACGTGACGAGACCGCCTGTGTTAATTCTTTACCTTTTTAGTTAATGCGTTCATCTGCAAATAAGCTGTATATATACACAACACCCCTATGAGCAATATTTCATAAGAAAAATGTTAAATAATTCAAACAGTTTTAATTCGGATACTTCTATCTATAGAATTTGTTTAGTAAATAAATATCGGTGAAGTAATACTAGTAGTAAATATAAATATCGAGGTGAAGTAAATATCGCGAAATACGAGTAAAATGCTTTCTATACATTTATTGAAAGAGGTATGGTAAAGTTCTACTTCACCATCCACGAAATAAATAAATAAATAAATACAAATTATTGAATAAATAAAATAAAAACAAGAGCCATGTCAACATGGCCATCCCCCGCCGAATGTGTTTGCTCATTGGAAGAATGTATATGTAGTAGAGCGGAATAATTCCATTTGAAGAGGTCTTTTGGTAATGAAAACTGATGGCTATAGTGATTACAGATTTGAAACCTATGTGAATACTGATGGCTGAAAATAACAAAGGGCAATTACTGAAAAAATAATGCAGGGTAGGTTATCATTCTTGTGTGCTGCATCCCTCCTCAGTTAAAATCTATCCACCTATGAAGTTTCAAGTTGATACCTCAAATACTTTTTGAGAAAAAAATTGAATTGAAAAATTAAGTATGAAAAAGAACAAAGGGCAATAACTCAAAAATTATAAAAGGTTAGAGTTATCATTCTTGTGCAGTGCACACCTCCTGAGTGACATCTATATGCACCTATGAAGTTTTCATTTTGATATCTCAAAGGCTTTTGAGTTATGCTCTGGACAAAAATTAATTTTGAAAAATAACAAAGGGCAATAACTCAAAAATAATGCAGGGTAGAGTTATCATTCTTGTGCACTGCACTCCTCCTCAATGAGATCCATCCACATTTGAAGTTTCAAGTTGATACCTCAAATACTTTTTGAGATAAGCTCTGGACAAAATAGCATGAAAAAAAGGGCAATAACTCAAAAATTGGTATAGGGAAGAGTTATCATTCTTGGCACAACATTCCTCCTCAATAAGATCTATCCACCTATGACATTTCATGTTGATATCTCAAACACTTTTTGAGTTAGCTCCACTTCAGGTGAAAAATTAGGTATGAAAAATAACAAAGGGCAATAACTCAAAAATTATGAAAGGTAGAGTTATCATTCTTGTGCACTGCACACCTCCTGAGTGAGATCTATGCACCTATGAAGTTTCATGTTAATATCTCATAGGCTTTTGGAGTTATGCTCTGGACAAAAAATCAATTTTGAAAAATAACAAAGGGCCAATAACTCAAAAATCATGCAAGGTAGAGTTATCATTCTTGTGCACTGCACTCCTCCTCAATGAGGTCTATCCACCTATGAAGTTTCAAGTTGATAACTCAAATACTTTTAGAGATATGCTCCGGACAAAAATGTCGGACGGAAGGACGGACGGACGGACGGAGACTATTTCTATATCCTCCGCCGAAATTTTTCGGCGGGGGATAACAAGCGCACGAATACTTGGACATGAAAGCAATGGGTTGCAAGTCCAATCCTCCGCAGCTCCAATCGTGGTCAAAGAGGACGGGGTTAAGCTACAGAGCTCTTAATCTGGAGGTCATGGGTTAGAATCCCGTCGAAATAAACACAAAGAAGACCAAATATATAGATCTCTGTCATACAGAGACGCTTGTTTGATTTTATTATAGCAATTTGAATGAATGTATTCGGGACGAACTATGCAACTATAGAAAACTTCTTTACCTTACAATGATCGCTTTGTCAAGGTCACAAAGTTCCGATCAAGATGATAAAAACGTCCTATTTATAACGCTAAGCCATTTATTCCTATTTTAAATAGGTATCCTCTCTTTTCATATCGAACACAGATCAGTGATTAACCTTCTTTCATTGTACGATATTTAAAAACAAGAATTTAATTTTTTAATGAATTTGAAAACAGGTTTTTGGGGTAAAATTTAAAAATTTTTTTTGGTAATGGAATTTTTAAAAAAGCGGGCCTAAATTTTTTAATTTCTTTTTTTTTAAAACAACGACATTTAATCATAAATTTTGGGGGGAAGAAAAAAATAAAACCCAAAAGATAAAAGCCAAAATGATAATAATTATAAATAAAAAAACAAGGTATTACTTTATGCTTACGCCTTTAAAAGAGGTGATGTTAAGAATTCTGCGTAATTAAGTTTAGTGTAGTAATATTTTATTGTATATATATTAACATTTTTAAATTATGCATAGAAATTTCTACAAAAATAGAACAGGGATGGGCAAAAAGGTATTAGGGGTCCTCCCCTGAAAGGCTCAGCATTTGTTGCCTTCTGTTGAAATTTATAGTTTTGTAAATATGCAAACTAGTGAAGTGTGTAAACTTTGTATTTAAAGTGCCACTCGGGCCTAGTTTGAGGATACAATTAAAAAAAGAAAAACCAACCGGTTATTGAACATTGCCTTTTCTTGGCTGTTAGGACATTTATAGTAAATAACGTTTGGTAGATCACGTTCTTGTAACATAATGTAAGTTATAGTACAGTTAAAAATAATGTAAAAAAAATCGGACAGCATATTCGGTAGGTAAAACTTTCTTATCAGTAGTTAGAGCTTACAATCACGTCAAATTAATCCGTCATTTTTCATTCGCTTTAATTCAACAAATCCATTACAGCAATTGTCGAAAATGTCAGTCTTTGAAATTCTCTGTCGATAATGGATTAACTGGTATTGAACGTAAGACCTTGTATCAAAGTATATCAAATATTAACACTAGTTTATCGCGCGCCGGTTTTTAATTTATTACCTCTACACATGATAAAAATTCTTCGACAACAACCCCTCTGTGTGTGTATGTGTGTGAAATATAAGCAACTCATTCAGTATATTATAAACTTATAAAATTTTCGTTTTACATAAAATAATGATATAAAAAAACTTCTGAACACATTTAAAGTTAGGTCTACTGCATGTGAAATTAGAACCGAACAGTTAATGGGAGACTATTCCACCGGCGTATGCCCCTTGTGAAAAATAGAT